CACCATGTATAACGCATGATAGACTCGTTTGTGAGTAAATGAACCAAGGAGTTATTTACCTCTCAGAGGGTAGACATCTTCATCTCCTGCCAGTTCTCTGGCGCTGAGCCCAGAGCAGTTTAAGATCAGCTGAGCTTTGAATTTCTTTTTCAAGTCTTCTGCCTGATCTCTCAACAGTCCGTGAATTTCATCGTGAACAAAGCGACAGCCCTTGTCACGACACTGTTTGTAAAGCCACTGCATGTAGGTGACTGTGTCAACCATGGGAGCCATGTGTTGGTAGGCGTCCACTACACCCGTGTCTGTGTTCACGGCTGAAGGAAAGATAAATATAAAATAAATATGTTAGAAAAGCAATTTAATTCACCGACTAAAAAATCGTGGTTTGCATGCAAGGAATCCATGTTCAAGGGAAAAGGGAACTATTAAAATTGTTTTAAATATACAAACTGAAAAGTCTTGTTAAACTCACCAGTTTCTTCAATAAGTTTGGCGTCATGGCGGAATCCTGGCAAATAACAGTTCTTCCATCTTTTCCAATTGTGTAGGAAGATCATTGATCTGAGAGAGAAACTGATTTTATTAATATTTGAGTTGTTTGTTTGAGCAGAAAGTACAATACAGTTTGTAGATATCGTCGAGAATCAATGACAGATGCAAGCTGATATAAAATAAATTGGGTCTTGTTAAATCCACATTTACCTTTTCCTTGAAGTAGAAGACAGATTGTCTCAGGTAGGCTCCAGTTTCCTTTGGATTCATGGCCAACTCCNGCTGATATAAAATAAATTGGGTCTTGTTAAATCCACATTTACCTTTTCCTTGAAGTAGAAGACAGATTGTCTCAGGTAGGCTCCAGTTTCCTTTGGATTCATGGCCAACTCCTTGAACTTGCCATAGCTGTCCATGTACCAAACCTTGGACCTCTCCAGTGACTTCTCGTCTGTGTGTCGTCCACACACTGCCGGAGGCCATTCCCACAGAGCGCCGGCGATCTCGGAGGTGATGCGTTTACCAGAGGCGACTGGTGAAGCGTACTCTTTTGCTACAACAGTGACTTTGTATCCTTCCTGCAGAAGCTGTAATGCTGACGTCGTACCTATAACTCCGCCACCTATCACCAACACGCGTGGAACGCGGGATGATCTGCTTAGGGATAACTGAAAGAGAACAGCCACACAGTATAAAATCGTGTATCGGCAAAATTGTTCACTATGATTTTTTTTGGCTGTTGAAACCTAATCTGCAATATTTGTAAAGGAGTGATTTATTTTGTTAGCCATTAAAATCGACTCGACTTATACAGTGTTAAGGTGACACTTTTCTTAGAAAATCGTAGTACTCCACTGATATGAATAGTTTCTGGAATTGTTCCCAAAATATTTCAGCAGATAAACTAGAAGTTGAACACGTTTTTTGTTGATATACAATCCTACCGAGGGAAACAGTTCTTTTTTCCGAGAATCTCGATGTCTTCCGAGAAGTCTTCCGAGAAGTCGAGGGAAAAATCCTATTTAACAAATAGATTCTACGTTACCGTGCGTCTGTTCAGTAACAGATCACAGATGACGTCAAAATGTGGTAAGAACAAAAAAGTGGCACACGAGGTGATAGCCGAGTGTGTCACCGATGTTCTTAGCTCATTTTGACGTCATCTGTGGTCTATTACTGAACAGACGCACGGTAACATTTCGTCTGTCCTCCAATAGATCATAGGTAAGAACCAATCAAAATGCGAGAGACTTACACCTTGTCTTCCACGGCGAACATTCCAATAATAGGGAAAAGTTAATGCACTTTGTCCCGTAATCTGATATTTGTTAATTATCTGCTAAAACAAAACTTGAAAATGTCCATTACCTTACTAATTTCTAAAAAGAATTTTGGCACCTTCGTCAATAGTCTGCAGATCAATTCGGCACAATTTACTTAAGTTCCGAGCTGAGTTGAGTTTTGAGATATTCACCATTCAGATACCTTGGTGGAGCGTGAATAAAATGGAAATCCCGTCTCATTAATTTGCACAGGCATTGTAATCTTCTTCTTTCTTCTTTCGTCTTTCTCAAGATGTTTCTACACTTGCTCTCTTACTGCTGCTCAGTTCACAACTGATCTGGAACCTTTTCATCCCTGAATATATACAATGGGCGACTAAAACTGTTACGTGACCCTCACAACAGAAAAATATTTTATGAATCCCTACGTGTAGCCCTCTGTCANCATGTGTTGGTAGGCGTCCACTACACCCGTGTCTGTGTTCACGGCTGAAGGAAAGATAAATATAAAATAAATATGTTAGAAAAGCAATTTAATTTACCGACTAAAAAATCGTGGTTTGCATGCAAGGAATCCATGTTCAAGGGAAAAGGGAACTATTAAAATTGTTTTAAATATACAAACTGAAAAGTCTTGTTAAACTCACCAGTTTCTTCAATAAGTTTGGCGTCATGGCGGAATCCTGGCAAGTAACAGCTCTTCCATCTTTTCCAATTGTGTAGGAAGATCATTGATTTGAGAGAGAAACTGATTTTATTAATATTTGAGTTGTTTGTTTGAGCAGAAAGTAGTCTGTCCTCCAATAGATCATAGGTAAGAACAAATCAAAATGCGACAAACTTGAACCTTGTCTTCCGCGGCGAACATTCCAATGATAGGGAAAAGTTAATGCACTTTAATTTGTCCCGTAATCTGATATTTGTTAATTATTCGCTGAAAACAAAACTTGAAAATGTCCGTTACCTTCCTAATTTCTAAAAAGCATTTTGGTACCTTCGTCAATAATCTGCAGATCAATTCGGCACAATTTACTTAAGTTCCGAGCTGAGTTGAGTTTTAAGATATTTAATATTCAGATACCTTGGTGAAGCGTGAATAAGATGGAAATCCCGTCTCATTAATTTGCACAGGCATTGTAGTCTTCTTTCTTCTTTCGTCTTTCTCAAGATGTTTCTACAATTGCTCTCTTACTGCTGCTTAGTTCACAACTGATCTGGAACCTTTTCATCCCTGAATATATACAATGGGCGACTAAAACTGTTACGTGACCCTCACAACAGAAAAATATTTTATGAATCCCTACGTGTAGCCCTCTGTCAATAAAGTATTGGATCGGTACCAGAATGCTGATGCTCTATGTATTCAGGTGAAATGAAAAAAAAAATGTCTTCAACGAATGTTCTTCTTTTAATGACTGTAGTGTACACCTTTTAAAAATAAAGACACATTTTTTAAAAGAAATTTTATTTCTTGTCGTTAATTGCTAATACATCTGACGAAGTTCGTTAATGAGGACCATAGGCAACCATGCGCACTTTAATGCTTCTCTTCCTGTTTTACAAAGAACGTTTATTTTTATTTTGGTGTTTATATGTTTATAGGTTAGCCTTTACTTTCAGTGCTGAATTCCCTGAGTTAATTATCGGATTTAATTCATTGACCAATTTCAAGTCGAATAAAACCGACTGAAGGGTTAAAAAAATTCACAGTCCAACGTTAAATCTTCAAGTTTCAATTCAAAAAAACAAAACAAAACAAAACAAAACAAAAATCTTAAACGTGCGTGTTTGCAAATGTTTTTACTGTTGCGTTTTTGCCAGTTCCATGGCAACAGCAGTTTTCTGTTTCACCTAGGAATTTCAGGGTTTACATGCGAGACAAAAAAGCGTGACCTCGTGTTTCAGCTCCTCTTTTTTAGACCATTTGAACATCATATATTCTAGGAGTAGGTTACAGTTTTAGGGATAGTTTACAATCGTAAATGTTTGTATTTTTGCCAATTCCATGGCAACTGCAGTTTTCATTTTCAGTTAGGAATTTCCGAGTTCAATATGCAAGACATAAGTAGCCTGAAGCATTACAAAAACCGCTTTTTTAGAACATATATATAAACATCATTTTTATTTTTAAGCCATGACGTAAGTCAATTTTACTGAAAGGCAAGTGAATATCATCCACAATTCTGCTAAAAAATATTTATCTTCTTGCGAAGCTTTGTCTTAATAAATTTAGGCGTTCTTTAGCTTGATGTAAATACAGTACGTCTGTAAAAATAGTCGCAATTCATAACAGACTGTCTGATCCGAGTCCGCATTTATTACGAGATACAGAGTAAAGTGGCCGTAATAAAGAGGTGGGCCGTCTTAACGGGGTGGTCGTAAAGCGGGGTCTCACTGTAACTAAATCCCTAGTGATATCCCCTTCCAAAGTGTTTGGTTGTTTTCGTTTCCTTAATTAAGGGTAGCCAAATCGACCGAAAGATAAAAAGGAAAAGCAAACTTGCAAAGAAGAAAGGCATTCGTGGGAGGAAAGGACAAGCAATGTCAAAATGTGAGGGATGCCCAAATCCTTAGTGATACCTAGTGATATCAGTTGATATGGTAATTGTTACGTGTTCCCTGCCCGGGGGGAGGAGGGATACTCC